GGCTGAATCTAGACTGAAAGTAGCCTCAAATAAATCCATAGTGACTGGGCGTTCTATTCAGGTGAAGATGGTAGCATACACCTGTGTAGAACGCCCGGTCATTATGGCTGAATCTAGACTGAAAGTTGCCCCAAATACAGCTATAATAACTGGGCGTTCTATTCAGGTGAAGTCGGTAGCATACATATCCTATTGGGTAAAATAGGGCTAAGTGAAAGCTCTCGTAACAAGTCTTGAGCTTCCAATATCTGACAGGAACCCTGAGATAAAGCACCCCATGGTGCACGGAACCGATCCTCTGCAAAACAGACCAGGTGCAGAATGAGACAGCTTCAGAACCAACATCAGGACACAAAAACACTCACCGCCTTCTCCTCGTCTCTTCTTGCAATCAGAGCATCCAGCAGTCCGGCTGCTCTAAAAGACTTCACGAGCTTATTCCCCCCGCCGTTTCCATTTCCGCCATACCGGTTATGGCTCCTTACTCCGTTCCTTGCCCAAGTGACAAGTCCCCCACTGTGTCCATTCCCTCCACTTGTAGTTGGTTGTGGGTTATTTACCCCTGGGGAAGCCCCGCCGCCCCCTGAGTTCGCCGAGTTTCCTAACATGGTGCCTACATCTGTGCTTGGAGGCCTCAACATGACAGCATTCCCCCCAGATGCTCCACCTCCCATTCCTGCTGCTCCTGTCCCCGTTCCTTCACCCGACATCGCCGCCGGTGCTGCTGCTGTTGCTGCTGAAGCCGCCGCCGCTGCGGCGGCCGCTGATGCCACCACCGCTGCAGCTGATGCCCCTCTCCTCTTTCCAATGTTGTTCTCAAAGTCTGGATCGGCTTCATCTGCCCCGCCCTCGCCAAATGATGCATCCCCTTCTTCTTCCTCCTCAGTGAACCCTCCCGACCCTCCTAACGAGTCCGAGAGATACGCTTCCTCATAAATCCTTGGCCGCCGTATCGTTCTTCTTCCGATCTCGCGAAGCTGGCCCTCTCTTTCGCCATCCACACTCGCCTCGCTGCGGCGCTTCACTCCAAGCGTCTTCGACCTCGTCCTACCTCTGCTCCTCAAGCTCTTGAACGTGCCATCTCCACCTCGCACACCTGCAAAGGACCCCCCAGAGGCAGGTATCGTACTCCGCCTCTTCACGAGCGCTTCCGTTTGTCGCCGCTGTGTATCCGCAATTCGCTCCTGTATCTGCTTCACAGACCACCAAAGAAGCATCATATGAAAGACAGGAGTCACCTCGGGAAGGGAACTTCTGGTAGG